ACAATCATTTTGATGGCATACTGACTTATAATAGGGAGAATGGCGGCTCTGTCTTTGCCACTGCAGGCCTGGAAAGCCTGCTATAGTGCTATGTAACTTTAGAAGAGCGGGAACAAAACCTCTCATGAGAACTGCATAACGCTATACAGCACCACGTCACACAGAAACAACTGTTCAGCTTGCTATAAGAAGAAGCTGGCTCAGTATTCCCAGCATGGACATTATGGCAGAGAGTGCGGGAGATGGAAGAAGACATTATCTGAGGAAGTGAGGAGGACAAGACAAGAGTACAAGGACAAGAGTAAATCTCGGACTGGCTTTTACTTGTTGGCAAGAGCTAAAAGAGATAAAAGGATGCAAGACAGTCTAATGGCTTACAAGAAAGCAGAGTGTACATCCTTGGTGATGTTATTTATGAAGGACTGCAACGGCTGTAACCTTATCTGTGTCATCCTTGTCTCACAGATTTTTGTAGTTTTTACATACGCTAAAAGTCATCTAACCTTTCTCCCACTTCAGGCTAGCATGCAAAGAAATAAATTCATCTCATGCCAAAAAGTCTGGCTAGTCTTTGTCAATCTCACTTCAAATAAAAGTTTGCAACTTCCTGTAATAAAATCTTGTAATATTACTCTACTTTGTAAGTCTTCATGGTTCTTTCACTTCACTTGTGTTTGCTGGTGTTGTGCCGAATTCCGACTCCGTGGCAGAAACCGACTCTCCTCCAATGAAGGCAAGTCAGAGGTTATTATTTTTGGTGGTCCTCATCACATTAATGGTGTCTCCAATTGCCAATTCATTTGTCCCCATGTGTGAAGACGTCTGTGAGAGATCTTGGTGTTATCTTTGACTCGGACCTCAGATTTGATAAACAAATCAACTCTGTGGTAAGAGGTAGCTTCTTCCAGCTCAGAAACATTGCAAAGCTTAAGCCTTTTCTCTGTTTTTCTGACCTGGAGAAAATTATTCATGCATTCATCTCCTCTAGAATTGACTACTGTAATTCTTTGTATATTGGAATTAACCAGTCTCTGTTGCAGCGCTTACAGTCCAAAATGCAGCAGCTGGGTTACTGACTAGTACCAAGAAGAGACCAAACTACTCCAGTCCTCGCTTCACTTCATTGGCTACCTGTCCAGTTCAGGATACAGTTCAAAGTGCTTTTATTTGTTTTTAAAACACTTGGTCAGGCCCCCTCATACGTTGGCAGTATGCTTACTCCCTCTACCACACAGCAAGCTTTGAGATCATCCTCACAGAACTTGCTGGCTGTTCCTATATGAGCTCGTTTGAAGCTTAAGGGTGATCATGCATTTGCAGTCTATGCTCCGAGACTATGGAATATTCTACTGCCCACTATTCGCCAAAGCACCTTCAATCGCTGTTTTTAAATCAAGACTAAAAACATATTTATACAAACTTGCATTTGAACAGTGAGGGGCTGTGGTAATTATACATGTTAGTTAAGTCTGTGTTTTAAGTCTTTACTCATCATCTTAACAGTTTTTTATTTCGCTTTTACTATCTTACCTCTGTTATTCACTTTTTTTCTTCCCTATTTTATGTAACTCTTCTTATTACAGCACTTTTGTCAATGCAAGTTGCTTTATAAATAAAACTTACTTACTCCACATGCAAGCGTGTCATGCAAGCATACGGATGCTACTGAATGCACTCACGATTTTGGTTGTTTCTATGTGTAAATAACCAAAATCGCGAGTGTAATCTGTAGTGTCTATATGCCTGCATGGCGCACATGCACGCGAAGGGGAGTTCTGGATTCTGTATCCTTCAGCTCATCAACAAATACACATGTACATGAGGGGGGTCACAGCGTGATTTCTATATACGACAGTGGTGTAAAAGTGAAATACACTCTGCAACTGCAGAGGGAGCCCAAGAGCAAAAATACCAATTCTCGCTTAATGCTGCTTTAAATTATACGGATGTTATTTATCAAAATAGAAAGACTGGACTGAATTGGTATAATGCCAATACTCAACATTAAGATCCTAAGACCAGATCAGAGGGCCAAAAACAACTAGATTAGGACATGCCTATTTGGAACTACTTGTCACTGCTGATTTAATGATTGCGAACTAGAAACCGAAACTGCAAAACTGCACCAATACTGCAATTATTATTTTCTGTCAAGTCATATGCCTTAAGATCTCATCTCAACTTTCTTTCAAATATGTCATTTTCTGGTTTTAATTTTATTATAACTTCACTATGGATGCTACACAGCTTTAGAGTCATTTAGAGTCATCCACAGCTCCACTCATTATTCTAGACATGGCAAGTTTTCTTCTTCTGTTCTTTTGACCTCTTTCTGAGGGAATCCCAGTGGCCACCCTGCCAGGAGAATGGAACTTGACCTGGATAATTTTACACTTTTCTCTGTAATTCTGTTATCAGATTTAATGACACTACTGGCTCTCTGTGTTTGATTCTACATGTTTTCCGATGTTTTACTAGCTTTTATTATGGCCAACATGGACATGCATGTGCCATAACCCCTTTGGTGGCAGAATTAAACAACGTAAAGGGCACATCGCCAGAGTTTCTGCATGTATCGCAGACAGAACTCTTATGCCACGCTAAAGTACAATCTAAGCATGACCCTGTGCTTCACTCTTATAAACAGTCACCTCAGACATTCTGGCTCTTTGTGCACTTAACCACTCACCTTTTGATCTTCACCAGTGACACAGTTTAAAGTGAAAGGCTTAAAAGGAGTTTTTTTGGAACCAGAATAGTTGTCTTCAAAATCTTAAGAGTCTTGTCATTCAAACTTTGTTTTAGATTGGGTTTTTTTTTCAGCTCCTTCTTGCTATCTTTCTTTCTTCGCTATCCTAATCCCTTCCTCTCTGGCTGTCTGGGCCAAAGTCCTATGGTTGAGTCTTTCCAGTTGGTAGTGGATCAAAGAGGACAGACGCACACACGCACACACACACATGCACACACACACCCAGGCACACACACAAACACACACACATAGACACAGACACACAAATTCAAAAGTCACAAAGATCTCACAAGTCTGCCTAGAGCTCTAATTACTTTCAACATAAAAGTGAAGAAAAACAGGCAGCAGATGAGGCGACAGTCATTTGGCTCAAGATCAGTCTCAAATCAAAGTTTCCAACTACTGTCAAACACAAATTGCTAAACCAATTCACAGACTCTGAATGAAACGTCTCTCTCTGCCTGTCAGAAACTAAAGCCCAGTGGAATTCAAAAATGCTTTGGTGTATTAAAAGCCAATTCTCCAGAGACAAGAGATCACGACTAATCTTTTGCTGCAGTGACCACTGGCCTTTAACTACGATGATCATGGTGTAAACCTAAGGTGGATTCCTCACATGGCTTCTCCTACCACTGCTAACCTGATGACACTGAACTAATGCTTTCCTTCCCACCTTCTGACACCCAGGTTTCCAGTCGCATCTCAGCATGTCTGACTGACATATGATCATGGATGACAGCTCAGCACCTGAAGCTCAATCCTAGCAAGACTGAGCTACTATTCATCCCTGCAACTACAGGTCCTCATCATGATCTTGCCATCTCACTCAGGACCTCTCTGATTGTTCCATCTGAAGATGTAAGAAGTCTCTTCTCACTCGAGCAGCCACCCAGGTGCTCGTTCAGTCTCTTGTCATCTTAAGACTTGGCGACTGCAACTCGCTCTTGGCTGGTCTTCCTATGAAGGTCATCAAGCCTCTGCAACTCATCCAGAATGCAGCAGCTCGGCTCGTCTTCAGTCTTCCTAAGTTCAGTCATGTCACTCCACTGCTGCGCTGCCTTCACTGGCTTCCTGCAGCTGCGTCAGATTTAAAACCCTGATGCCTACAAAGCCCAAAACGGACCAGCCCCTCTCTACTTAATAGCAATGGTAAAAACTCGACCTGCACCTCAAGCCCTTCGAGCTGCATGTACAGCTTGGCTTGACCCACCATCCTTCAAGACGCCTGGAAGACAAGCATCAACACTTTTCTTTGTCCTGGAGCCCAGGTGGTGGAACAAACTCCCACTGACTGTCGGAACAGCAGAGTCTCTCGTGGTCTTCAAATGCAGACTGAAGACACATCTCTTTCTACAGCACTTAAGAGGGCACTAAGACTTTGTTCACACAGCAGACAAAAGTGGCCCAAATGCGATCTTCTTCTTCATATGTGACACAGATGTGTCTCCGTGTGTCAGTGTGAACAGATAAACACACTGAATCTGACATTTTCAATTCCGATTTGAAACACTTTCATATGTGGTACTGAAATCCTATCCATATCCAATATGTGGCGATGCAACTCTGAACAGCCAGATCGGAATTCATGCGACTTTTATGTCAATCCAACTCGACATTCGTCATAATTTCGCACTGTTGAGACTCAAACATTTAGGCTGGTGTTTCTGTACCAAAAAATTAGAGGGCACTTATTGCAACCGCTCCGTGTTCAAAGAGATTTCGAAAGAAATGGCTGAATGCGGCTGTAAGAGAATGAGGCTGCAGCGTCAAACAACAATTAAAAGTCTGAAAGCAAAGTTTAAAGAATCTGAGGACATGAACCAAAGAAGTGACTGTGTGCTTTTTACAGCTGGAACGCATTCTGGGTGACGAGCCCAGCTGACAACCGTTGCAACTTCAGACGGACTTCAAAATCGGATTTGGTGAGAAAATCAGATTTGGGCCACTTATACCTGCTGTGTGAACATAGCCTAAGTTACTTAAGTACTTATTGAAATGTATTTTATTGCACTGCGCTGTGTTTTAATTCTGTTTCTTTTTCTCTGGGTATCAACATGGGCTTTTGTTTCTAGCAGTATCTGAGCTCAGGTCTAACTTCCTCTCTAACCTATTTGCAACTAGAAAGATACTTTTTCTGAGTCGACAACAAAGCACTTATTGTAAGTCGCTCTGGATAAGAGCGTCTGCTAAATGTAAATGTAAATGTAAGCGGACGGCTGTGATGACTCTCTAAGGAAGTTCTAATACTCACAGTCTCTGCAGGTCAGCGTACTTGGAGAAGACATGATCAGGAAGCTCTCTCAGCTCATTGCTCTTCAGGGAGCTGTGTAAAGGCCCAGCGTCAGTGTGGAAAAAAACGTACGTTGTTTCAATTAATTTCCAGCACATATGAAATCATCCTGTGACTACATTTAATGCAATGATTTACTGCCTTTCATTTAAGAGTAAATCACAAGGTGCAAAACAAAAGCGGAACATTTAAGAAAAAGGGCTTCCTGAGCTTAATGTCTTTAAGCCTATTTTAAAAGAACCATGAAATAATTTCCAAAGTGATTTAACACAGTTTTGTTTTACAAAATCAGTGTTCAAACAAGATTTATTTCGTTTCTAGGCAACACTCTGAAACACGTTTTTCCTGACTTTCAGATCAAAATGTATTGTCCCAGGGAAGAACACTTACAGCCAAGTCACGTTGGAGGACAGAATAGGCACAGCACGTAGGTTCACCCCCACACACTCCACCTCTGTCTTGGTGCAGTCGCAGCTGTCTGGATAATGCTGAAGAGCTATAAAACATCAGACACACATACAGACTTTTTATACAATGGCAGGACAGAATATTACATATCACATATGTATTGCATATATATATAACTCCATCTTTCATTTATTCATTTATTTCCAGTGAAAACAGTCATTAAGTACAAGTTATTCATTGACAGGAAATATTTCTGAGGAGATTAGATTCAAGATAGTCCACAAGCATAAGGAAGGGGAAAATTTCCAAAACTGGAGGTCAAAAAATGTGTTATATAATGAGATCTCTGGTAGACCACCAAAACGATCAACATCAGATAAACAGCACCTAAAGCTTTCGTCTTTAAGAGAGAGGAGAAATCAAGATCTGCTTCCGACCTGAAAAAATCCACTGTTTATCTGTAGCTGTCAAGAAGCTGTTACTGAGAAGAGGAAGAAAATTTTGCAAATCAAACAAAGAAGCTGCTGCTGTTCTCAGAACAGGGGACTGGTCATCCCAGAGTCCAGACCTCAGCATCGTTAAATGTGTTTAATATTAACTGGACTGTAAGCAACAAAAAAAGCAACCAACTCCTAAGACTGAATTTGGAAACAGGAAACAATATCCCTGCAGATTTCGTAAAAAAAGAAAGTTTCTCAAAAGAAAGAAAGCTGTAATAAAGTGAAATTGTGGACACAGTAAATTCTGTTTTTATTATGTTACTTTTAGTTCTTTAGGCTTCTGTGTAATTTTCTATTGAATATACTGTGTTTTGCCACTTGCTCCGGTTTGCAGAAGGGGCTTTAGAGGCGTGGTATGCAGAGCTGCGTTGTGCGCCCTGCCTCCTTTGCCAAAGGGATGTTAATTGTTGTCATTTATGTTGTTAATGTCGCTGTTCATTAGTTAAAGGTGTGTGTATGTTAATAAACAGCACTTCTCGTAGCAGAAATCATGGCCCTCCCATGTTTCCTTCTTCACCAAGACGCTACATTTGGTGTCAGAAGTGGGATACGGAAAAGTCACAAGAAGTGCTTTTTAAGAGGCACATGAAAAACAGCTGGGGAAGCAAGCAGGTCATTTCTATCATACCTCTTCACTCTATGCTAGATAACTAATGCTAACCATACACTAGAATACTTAAAAAAGACTGTTGAAAGACTAGTTTAACACCTTCTAACATCTAAAGACAATATCAACGTTCTTTAGTCACAGACTGTGATTTTGCAAAGACTGAGGATCTTGCAGGGTCACTACCTGCAACTGGTGGAAATTTACAAGCAGAGAAACCTTTTCCCTCTCCACTCTGTAGTGGTACAAATGGAAAGATGAGCCTGGGAATGCTCAGCCCAGTTCACTGTAGAACTGTATATTCTGGCAGATCACCCTACATTTTTAAATAATCTGTAAAATGTGCAGTTACTTTAATATTCGACATAAAGATTTACACATCAACAAAACATGCAGTGATTCAGCACTGATGATTGGGTGTTATGAACTAAACCATAAAAACCAAACAAACAAAACAAGAAACCACTGTAACAGAAAGTAAAAAACTGAAAAAAAGAAAAAAAAGAAAATTCCTCTGCACAGTTCAGTACATCACTGTTACAGGCTCAGTGAACCTAAAATATTAAAACAACCAGTTTACATTTTTAAGTTAATATGATTATTGTATTAAAGTGGAGCACATTTGCCTTTTTATGGAGATTTCAGGCACACATCTCTCTCTCTCTCTCTCTCTCTCTCTCTCTCTCTCTCCCTCCCTCTCTCTCTCACCCTCTCTCACCCACGCCCCTGACATGTCACTGTTTGCATGAGCCAAGACTTATAAGTTATGATAATTTTAAACCTGATTGATTTTGTCGCAGCATCAAGACGAGAAAAGGACTTACTTAGCCCTTTAATGTTCTGCTCAACCATTTTGTAGAGCACATTTTGAGTCACTATATATATGTTCTGATTTTGCCACAAAGTGCCACCTCGACAGTTCGGTAGATGTGAATATTTTAAAAACTGTAGGGTCAAAAAAACGAAAAAAAAAAACAAAAAACAAAACACCAATTGTTTTTATTATTGCCCCGAAAATTCCATTGCTTTTTTCTTGGTGAGGACATTAAAGGGCTAAGACAGCCGTCCTGACCACCTCACACTAAATGATCGACATGACGTGCGAGTGTGACGGAACTCCCATGATTTTATTCTGACAATGAAAATGTGTATGTGACAGTGAAATCGCTTAAAAAGTCGTTTGGTGTAAGGCTGCCATAAAAGCCCCACTATCTCACCCACAACTCTATACAAAACACACAATAAACACACACACACCCTTAACTAAATGCATACCATGCCTCTAGCGCACCTTCAGTGAACCGGAGCAAGTGGCCGCAGCTGCCACAGTGTTTTGCTTTTTATTTTGTGACACTAACATAACTTTTATGTAACAGACGTTTTGACTGACAATTCTAAAAATAACTCTTATTTTAACCTCAATAACCACAAAGAAATGTTACTGAATGAGAAAGAGAGAGAGAAAGAGAGAGAGAGAGACAGAGACACATACAGCAGGCATCTGTGAGGTCCTCTGGTTCAGATTTCTTCATAATGGTGCGGTCAAAGATGTCAGCCCACCCACTGTTATCACCTGTGGAGAGAATCGCACAGAATTAGACATAAAGATTTTGCTTTATGTGACTCAACCCAAGAATACAAATGAATAAATCTAGTAAATGCTTCTTTATAATTCCAAGCCAGAAAAGCAGCTGATTCTGCCTTTTTAATCTATTCTTCTCTGCTAGTAACATATTTTCAAAACCTGTCACATTTATTATAGATTTTATTTAGTTTGTGCCATAAAACTTTTTGATCAAGCAAATTCATGAATAAGACCTATGACTTCACACTTCAGTCAGTTTTTGTTGTTACTACAACTAGCCAAACATTCTGAAGGTGAGCAGTGCATCCAACAATAAAGGCAGCCTTGTACTTCTTATGTGTATAAATATATATATATAAATTTTGGGACATTTCTATTGGTCTATTGGTTTCGTTCCAACAGCAGCGATATATATATTGCACACATTGCAACTACTCTGACGGTAGATTTTAACATTCCTTCTGGCGTTTTTGGGAACTACAAAATACATATCTGTAATTTTTGGCAGATTTTTGTGATCTTTGTTTTTTTACATTATATCCAACCAGATATCCTTGAAAGTGCTGCCGCAAGGTGCAATCATTTGGAAGCCTAACTTTGCTATGCAAATCATAGACAACTGCTTATGTCACCCAAGCCAAATGAAGCTATCTTTAGGAATATGCTCACTGCTTTGTAGCCCATTTGCTTCACTGTCCTGCTATAACGACTACCTGCCACCCTCTACTGTACCTGACAGCTTCAATACCTTTAATATAACATATTACCATCACCCTTTCCATGAACTCCAAATATGCCATTAGGTAAATATGACATAACAGACTGTCTACAATAATTTAAACACTCTAAGCAGACTTGGTTACTGGTCCATCCTGCAGATTGTTCCTTCGAATCATCCGGCTCTATTTGTAACCCTGCAATAAATTTCCTGTGCTGCTTCCCCGAGGAAGATCAGGGTCTCCTTTTTCAGTCTCGGCTCCTTTCAAGGTTTCTCCCAAATACTCTTTGGGAATTTTGCCTTTTTACCTCAGACTCGCTCATTCAGAGTCTGGCTTTGAGGAAATGGGCCAGGGGCTGTATTACAGAAACTTCTCAAGTCTGAAATCTTATCTTATCTGTTTAGTCACCATGACAACTTCAGTTAGAGCTGAACATAGGACAGAAGATTTTACAGAACAGATACTCTAGATAATACAATTTCCTAAATTGTGTCCTAAGATAACCACAGAGACGTCTTAACTTCTTTACCCTTTACCCGTTTCTATTGTTTTGTGCAGTGACAAGCAGAATAATTCACTATAATTAGCCCAATGACTGAACATTTATCTACATCAAAAATGGTGCTTTGACTTTTATTTGCCTAATAGCATTTTAAAAACCCCAGACCCTGCAGACACAATCTCCCCCATCCTCTCTTATTACCTTCATGTGTTAATGTTGGTGAAAACTCATTAAATAAAATATTACAGTGATGGTGGTGAATAATGAGGAGACAGAGCTGAACGTGTGTCTGTTTATTAGGAGGAGTAACGTTAGTGCGCTCGGCTAAAGCATTTGGGAAATAGAGACTGAAACTGGAGACGGCGACGCTCTGATAAACAGCACAAAGCGCTGAAACATTTTATTTTTTTTACATCAACGGTAGCTAACGTTAGCTGTCTGGCTAACTAACTAGATTATTTTGATTGTGTTTACATTTCAGCTGTGCGTGTATGGTCGGTTGCTAGGTAACAGGCATGACAGTTCATTGTCGACTTCGATTGAGTAGGTTAAGATTTCCTAACTTGAGATACTGTAAGATATAATTTCTATATTAAGATTTAGTTCTGTAATGCGAAATTGTGAAAATGCGTATCTTGACCTAACGCATCTTAACTTAAGACAAAAAGATTCTATAATATGGCATGTTTACCATGACATTAAGGGCAAGCACTGTTGCACGTTTGCACGATTACCTCATGTGCTGATGTATTTTACTGTTTGCCTTCCTAAAAGAATTGTCTGAACTATTGTTCCATCTGTATTACTAATTATGATAAGATTCTTCTGACTGGTGATTTCAGTTTTCATGATGATGAAGCAGGTGGCACGGTGGGGATCGCTGTCGCAGCAAGACGGGCTTGGGTTTGATTCCCCAGCTGGGTGAATGGGGTTCTGTCTGTGTGGAGTTAGTATGTTGCTCCGTGTCTGCGTGGGTTTCCTATGGGTGCTCCGGTTTCCTTCTCCAGTGCAGTAAGGCCCCTAGGTGTGGGTGGATGTGTATGTCTGTGTGTAGTCTGCCCTGTGGTGGACTGGTGACCTGTCCAGGGTGTATCCTGCCTGGGAATTGGGTGGACCCAATGAGCGCTTGGATAGGCTCCAGCACCCCCTGTGACCCAGGAGGATAAGCAGCTTAGAAAATGAATGAATGTTGATGCAGCACCAGACAAAAAAGCTACTGAATTCATGCGACTTTTAAATACATTTGATTTTACTTTAACTGGTCTGAGACATATTCATGGTCACACTTTAGATTTAGTCATCTCAGAGGTTCATTAATTAACATAAATTAAATTTCAGATACTGCAATCTCAGATCACCATTGTGTGTTGTTTAGTATGTCTACTTCTGTTGACATGAAATACAGAGTAACAAAAATGAAAAAAATGAAAAAACCCTACATTGGTCAGCAATTTTAACTGTAAGCTAAGATCTATTTTAGATAGTTTTGCACCAGAAGAAACTTAAAAGAAGTTCTTGACCACAAAAATGCCATGAAACAATTGTATTTGTATTTACATCAATGTAGTACTGAGAGACAGAAATACTACTCCAAACTTATTGATGACAACAGAAACAACTCAAAAGTTTTTTTTCAAAAACTGATCATCTTTTAAATCCTAAGTTAACCAATGATTATTTCACTGAGGCTCCGACATCAAAATGTAATAATTTTGCATTATTGTGAATACAAAAATCACTAATATTCGGTCCAAAAACCGAAAAGTCCAAAACTGCAAAAAGTAGACTATATTTTTATTCAACAGCAAAACACCATGAATAGTTTTACAAAGATTAATGAGGCAAAACTTCAAAAAATGGTCATACAGCTAAATTCCTGCACCTGTGTTATAGATTCTATTTCAACAGCATTTCAAGGAAGTATTTGACAGCCTTTGTCCAAGTGTGCATTGTAAATTGTATCTTGTTTTTTGGAAACAGGTACTTTTCCACATACACTTAAAACAGCAGAAAAGACTGCTTTATTGAAGAAACAGAACCTTGATCCCTCAGTTCTTAGTAATTACAGCCCGATCTCTAACCTTCTGTTTTAAGTAAAATAACGGAACAATTTGTCTTTTTCACAGCTTACTGATTTCTTAAATGAACACAATATCCATGAAAAATTCCAGAATGATCTGAGAATAAATGCTGATTCAGCTGATGTTTCCTTAATTATGCTTCCAAATTTAACTGCCGCAATTGATACTACAGACCACAGAATACTTAAATCGTCTTGAGAACTTGATTGGTCTCTTGGAACTGTGTTAAACTAGTTCTCAGAAAACAATATTTTGAACGCACAGGTGAGCAGCTATCTCAGATAAGCATGATATTCTCTGTGGTGTACCACAGGGCTTTGTACTAGGTCCACTTCTGTTTTCTTTGTATTTGCTGCCAAGACTGCTGTCAATCTTGGCAGATTATCAAGAAGAATTATTCGCTGTCAGATTATCAAGAAGCATGGCATCAATTTTCATAGTTATGCAGATGATACACAACTGTATATATCTGTAGCTCCAGACAATGTCACTACAGCAGGGTAAAAACAAGCTGGTAATATTTCTGTCCAGCATTGTTAGCTGGATGAATAGAAATTTTCTAAAACTTAATGAAGACAAGACAGAAATAATTATGAAAGACTTGGAAATCTGGCTCTACAAATAAAGACTTAAGTTAGAAATCTTGGTGTAACTCTTAGACTCTGAATTTAACTTTTAAATCACATATTAATAATATTACCAAAACTGCTTCAGGCATCCATCAGGCTCCTTCTGTCAATGTTTTTAAAAACATATTTCTTCACTTTGTGTTTAACTATTTTTTTATTGTTTCTCTTGTATTTACTGGAATTTAACTTTTACCTTCTTGTTAGTTATTATTAATATATTCCCTTTTCTGCTATTGCAGTTGTCTTCTTTTCTGTTGTTTTTACTTTGTATTGTGAAGCACTTTGAGCTGGATTTTTAATGTATGAAATGTGCTATATAAATATAGATCATTATTATTATTATTATTATTTGCATGATGTGAGGTATGGCCATGCTTTATCTCATTTACAAATGGCAGTCATAACACTACACAATAAAAAATAACGCCTGAACCTCTCTGGTGGTAATTTTCCCCAGTAGATCTTGTAGCTGCTGTTGTAGATGAGTAAGATGAGGAGGAAGAAGACTTGATTAAGTTAGACTTAATCTTAGTCTAGGACACAGGTGAAGACACCAATGCTAAAAAGACACTGGTGCTAAATCACTGCCACGGTCACTGTCGAGTTTTATGAATTTGGCCCAATGTTTATTAGGCTTAGTACTGTATGCAGATGATTTTTTCTCTGTGCAGGGGTTGCAAAACAAAATCCACTGTGAAGAGATCACAGTTAAGTACACCGATAAGGCATAACATTATGACCATTATGATCCTTCTTTCTATGCTCATTGTCCATTTTATCAGCTCCACTTACTATATAGGTGCACTTTGTAGTTCTACAGTTACAGACTGTAGTCCATCTGTTTCTCTGATACTTTGTTAGCCCCCTTTTACCCTGTTCTTCAGTGGTCAGGACCCCCATGGACCCTCACAGAGCAGGTACTACTTGGGTGGTGGATCATTCTCAGCACTGCAGTAACACTGACATGGTGGTAGTGTGTTAGTGTGTGTTGTGCTGGTACGAGTGGATCAGACACAGCAGTGCTGCTGGAGTTCTTAAACACTGTGTCCACTCACTGTCCACTCTATTAGACACACCTGCGATGTTGGTCCACCTTGTAGATGTAAAGTCAGAGACGACAGCTCATCTCATGCTGTACAATATGAGCTAATCATCCTCTAGTCCTTCATCAGGGGTCACAGGACGCTGCCCACAGGACGCTGTTGGCTGGATATTTTTGGTTGGTGGATGATTCTCAGTCCAGCAGTGACACTGAGGTGTTTAAAAACTCCAGCAGCACTGCTGTGTCTGATCCACTCAGACCAGCGCAACACACACTAACACACCACCACCACGTCAGTGTTACTGCAGTGCTGAGAATGATCCACCACCCAAATAGTACCTGCTCTGTGAGGGTCCGTGGGGGTCCTGACCACTGAAGAACAGGGTAAAAGTGCACCTATATAGTAAGTGATGCTGATAAAATGGACAGCGAGCATAGAAACGAGGAGGTGGTCATAATGCTATGCCTGATCGGAGTATTACACTGAAGGAAATTGCATAATGGCGTAAACAGCAATGTTTTCACTGCCCTATTTAAAAACACTCTATTGTTTATATTGTAGCAGCTGAGTGCACAGAGTGAAATACAGACGTTTGGAATGTCTTGTTTAGGCAATAAAAAGCATGTGTTTTACTTCAGCACTGACGTTTTCACACCATGATGCAAAACCCACAATAAGTATCGCTTCATGTACAGTTACATGCCTAACGCCTGTTGTTTAAACAAATAAAACTGATGTGAACAGGAACATTAAGCATAGGCTGATTAACGTGAAGCACTTCTAATCCCTCGTGATTAGTGATTAGTCTGTGTTCCTTTCTTTTTCACACACACGTTTATTTTTACGCAGTGTCGGGAGGGGTGTCATGCACAGTGGCAATGCTGGAGTGAGTAATTGGGAAAGTCAGGAGAATTCCCACTGGGCCAGTAGCACTTTGGGCTGATTACTGTGAGCTACTGTATAAGCTCAAGAACATTACGTATTACATCCAAGTGTATATCTGTAGTGATTTAGCAGTTAAACCAGTGGCAACCCGCCCCCAAGTGGTCCAGACCCAGGTTGCTGATGATGAAGTTAGCTTCTTATTCTCACTTCCTGTTCCACCTTAAATGATGCAGCAGTTCCATTAAGACCCTTGTATGGGTGCACATAACTGCTGCACCATTTAAGGCAGAACAGAAATTCTAATATAAAGGTAACATCAGCCTTTAGTGTATTAAATTCAGAGCAATGGTATGAATCTGGGACTAACACAACAGGCAGCTCTACAGAGTTCACCACTGTTTTCCGCTCTACTGAAGTAGCAATTATCATACATTAATCATGTGAAGATGGACGGCAGCGGCAAAAACTGGAAAAAACAGGGTACCAAGAACACAAGGAGGAAAAAGCTACTTAAGGAGCAGGTGGGCAGTGAGAAATGCTGACCGTAAAGTATTTGGCTAGCACTAGTTTGCAGCATATTGACTGAGTTGACTGTCACATTTAACACAAAAAGTTTTGCCAGGTTTATTTTTTATTTCTGTCTAGCCACCCTAATTATCTCAGGGTAGAATATAAATGATAAATAAGAGTAAGAAATGAAGAATATGAAAATACCTTTTTAAAATAATGATTTGGCCACAAAAGAACATTTCCTCACTGTTAAACACTTTCATGAGCTATTACTATAAACAGACAATTGTTGTACATTGTTTTATGTATTTGTATTAATTACATTATTTTTTCATTTGATAAACACTTATTTAATAACGTAACTTACAGTAATACAAGTTACATTTCAAAAATTAGTTAAAAGCAAGAAAATAAGCAGGAAACACGAATTTAACAGAAAACTGCACAAAAGCCTCCAACACTAAGTACAATATCAAATCTATCAGGATTTAATTCGTCCACATTTTGCTTTTGTGCACCCTACTACCACTTTAAGGTCTGATACTCAACATGTTTTTTAATTTATTTTGTCCCCTGATGTCCACTTATAACGTTTATGTGGTTTTATGAAGCAAAAACACCTTTAATTTATTTTTACATGACCATTTTCTCTAAGTCTAGAATTAAACAGGCTGTTTGTGTTACTGTGCTTTTAATTGTAATTTATGTACATAAGCTCTGTTTCAGATTGGCCGTCCTGTATTGTGCCTCATTCAAAAAGCAGTCTGGACTGAAGCACTCCTTATAATATTAGTGTGAATAATGCAGGGCTCAGCTGCTACAACCACTCACACACTCATCCGCATAGCTTTCTGGGTGCAGCACTCACTGGATTGGAGGCAGGAAACACCCTGGACAGGTCGCCAGTCCATCACAGGGCAGACATATAGACCTACACATTTGCCGTAACCAGAATAGGCTAATATATAATATGAGGTATGTAAATACAAAATAATTTGACTAAAGATTAAATAAATGAGAGGGTGGTCTCTGACTTTTGCTTAGTACTATATATGTAACTTCCCGTATATATTCATCTGGTCTCTCGGGTATTATATATCCTCTTTGTTAGAATAAAACTTTGCATCTCTATTTTTGCTGTTTTGCCTATTTATATATTATTTATTTAATTATTTCAAAATGCCAGCTAGCCTTTACATTGCATGAAAAATTCATGATGAATGGATCAAAAGAAATAATCTAAATTTACATGGAATAAAATCTTTTTACATTAACTTCCTTTAAAAATTAAGAATGTTTTTTAATTTTCCTGAAAAATTACCAGTTTGGATGCTGACAGTGATGATACAGTTATATGCAGTGTTGATGCATTGTTGTGAAAATAAGTTCACAACACATCCCCAACAGGAAAAACACAGATATTACATTTTATTTGTACATTTTAGTGCAGAAGTTATTTTGCAAGGGTTGCTCTCCCAAATGCATTACAGATCACTCCCAAGAATATTCTTTTTATTCATGATGTGTGTTGTCGAGTGTGAGCTTTACACATATAAGAAATATCAGTACTGTTATGATTAATAACGCTTCTATTAAAGAGATTAAAATTTACACTTCAGGTGTAATTTACAAAATTTACACTCCATTACATGTCAGGTATAACATTGTTAAAAATCCATTACATCCCAAATTGTTACTCAGATATACAGCATTTTTCAGTTAAAAAATGTATTTTTACTTAAAAAAAAATTAACAAAATGTAATTTGACTAGGACGCTGAAACTTTTGCATATGACTACACACACTGTTAAAAATAAAGATGCCAAAAAGGGAGTGATGCCACTTTTGATTCCCTAAAGAAAAATTTCATGAATGGTTCTTTGAAGAATGTTCTTTTTTAAGGTTAAAGAACATCGTCTAAATATTGATCAATTAAAACTTTTCTTTTTTCCTTAGAAACTACCTAGATACTGTCCAAGCCAAAACCCATTTAGAACCTTTATTTCTAGCCCTGCGTTCACACCGGCAGCGACTTTTCACCGCTTGTCACCTAAAGTGATAATCGCTCATCACCTGTGGGCATTTCTGAAAAATCCTGGTGAGAAATCACCTGTGTGCTTATTTTTATTTAATCCCTGTGTTTATGCAGTCACTATGTGAGAAAAAAAGAATTTGGTCTTTGTGATTACTGTCTATTTATGGTGAAAGCTCCGCCGCCCCTAATCCATCTCTAATAGGAACAATTGTCTAGCAACCAAAAACAGAGGGTACTGTTTCACAGTGGTGGAGATAAAGCGCCTGCTGCTCTGCTGAATCAGAGCCGGTTCATGAGGAGCCTGGCCACTTCCTATTTCCCCCGTTATATCAAAAACAGGACTGCTAAACAGCAGAGGGCGCCCACGAGCGAGTCCTCAATGAATGAGTGAATGGAGCTCAATGGCTAAAAACGAAGTTAAAATAGTTTCTAATCACTGAACCAGAATTTTCCTTTCATTTTAGAAAGTAGAAGGATGTGTTTCACTAAAAAAACACAGAAAACTCACCTGTAAGTTTCATTTTTTCTACATCAAACGGGTTTTGGGCAGCAGAACGCTGGCATTACTGCTACTGAGTGCTGATTGGTTGGTGAGCGGAGCAGCTCATTGGCTGTTCTCGCTCACTGACATCATGAACGTACATGAGGCGCCGTTTTAAACTCCTATAACTCGAGTTTAAAAGCTCTTAAAAATATAACAGCAGTGTTAATATGTTTTATGCTGTTCTGTGTTCAGGAAATGATTGTATTCTTTTACATTAAAAATGTTTCAGCATTTATAAACTATAATTTTGCTGAAATGCTCCATATTAATCCATACATTTTGGACTCATTCGAGAGCGCCCTCTAGCATTGTAGAAACCTGGAAGACATTCTCCTCTTTAAAGCTGTGTCCCATTTCAGGGGCTGCATCCTTTGGAGGCTGCATTTGAAGGCCGACTGCATCACAGCGGCGCGACCAGACTGTCCAATTTTGAAGGCTCCTTCATATGCGGCCGAGAAATGTGTCCTTCTTTTCCATGGCAACGAAGGATCCAGCCCCTGATTTGGGACACACTGTAAGTTCTCTGGCTGAATGCACAATTCTTATTGGTAATCGCCACGTCGCTTTGCTCCTTATTTGCATAAAGTTACACTCCGCTCAACTTTGTTGCGTCGCTGACTTCGCCACGTTGCCAATGTTCACGCTGCCTCCTGACGCCAGAAATCTCCAGCTCTCACTGAAAAGGAATGACCTCAGGCCGCGTTGTCGCGTCATGGCAGGTGTGAACGCAGGGTAAGAGTGACTAAGACTGACGTAACTATGTTTTTGTAATAGAAATTTTCTTCAAACTAATCTTCAAAAACTAAAACATAGTTTTTTTAAAAGTACTTTACCATTATGTTGTTCCTGACATTGCAGATTTTTTTTGTCTATGGTTTTCCCACAAATCAGAACATCACTGCCCTGAAAATGTACAAAACTCACACACACACACGTCCTTACCACAGTGCTCCTCATCCGCTCCATTCTTGCAGTCTCTGTGACCATTACATTGGAGCACCTGCGGCAGACATACGCTCATATTTCCGCAGGGGAACTGGCCAAGTGGGCAGGCCTCCACCACATCCCTGCTGGCAAATATGGACACTGCTGATGAAAAGAAGAATAGCGGGAAAGGAAAAGGGGGACAGAAATTAACAAACGAATTAGCTCCAATACAAAGCAAGGACAGATGCCTATGCATGGGTAATGCACTAGATTGAACGGTCATTAACATTACTATTGTCTTTTGGACACGCTTTGTTAAATAGCAACTCCCCTGAGCGCTCTGGACCACGGCTACTTTACGTCACAATGATTTAGGACTTGCTTTCTCTGCCAGAGCTTCTTCCACCTGAGGGCTGTGTCTAGACACGCTACAAGACAACTGCTTGCCCTGAAATGAAACAACCTAAAAAAGGCTCTCTCTGCATAAGAGTTGGGCACAATGAAAAGCTAAATCTGTTTAAAGCGCTGCATTTCCAGTAGGGCTAGGTACAATCTGTGGACCTCCTCCAACTACATCGGTCCACGGCACATGCCAAGGCAATAACAAGAGATACAAACCAATTACAGCACAGCTCCAAGTGTGTAATGCGATAATTCAGCCACCTGCGCAACAACAGGGCCCCTTGTTTTCAGATACAGGCAACATTAAGTAACACAAAATTAAAGTGAAAGAGCACAAACTAAAAAGCAGAATTTTCACTGTAGAGTGTGGGGTTTTGCTGGTCTATAGTAATATGCCAAAGTCAGAGACCACCGTTCATTTAATCAAATCAAAAAAGTTTTTCAGTGTTGGGAAAAACGAAAGCTACACCGATCAGGCATAACATTATGACCACCTCCTTGTTTCTACACTCATTGTCCATTTTATCAGCTCCACTTACTATATAGGTGCACTTTGTAGTTCTACAGTTACAGACTGTAGTCCATCTGTTTCTCTGCATACTTTGTTAGCCCCCTTTTACCCTGTTCTTCAGTGGTCAGGACCCCCATGGACCCTCACAGAGCAGGTACTATTCGGGTGGTGGGTCATTCTCAGCACTGCAGTAACACTGACGTGGTGATGGTGTGTTAGTGTGTGTTGCGCTGGTCTGAGTGGATCAGACACAGCAGTGCTGCTGGAGTTTTTAAACACCTGACTGAGAATCATCCACCAACCAAAAATATCCAGCCAACAGCGTCCTGTGGGCAGCGTCCTGTGACCACTGATGAAGGACTAGAGGATGACCAACACAAACTGTGCAGCAGCAGATGAGCTATTGTCTCTGACTTTACATCTACAAGGTGGACTAACAAGGTAGGAGTGTCTAATAGAGTGGACAGTGAGTGGACACAGTGTTTAAAAACTCCAGCAGCACTGCTGTGTCTGATCCACTCGTACCAGCACAACACACACTAACACACCACCACCACGTCAGTGTTACTGCAGTGCTGAGAATGATCCACCACCCAAATAGTACCTGCTCTGTGAGGGTCCATGAAAAACGAATAAACTGTACATAATGTTTTTTTTTTAAATTGCAAATTGAATAAATGAAGAGTGGACTACTGGGCTCAGAACTGTATTTGTGACATAATTGTCATTGGATACATGTCCTTCCGAAAAACAGGTCAAGCTCATTAAAATTTGTGTAGTGAGACACTATTTAATGTAGCATTGCTGACATGTAACTTTTTATCCTTTAATCTCATGTAATTTCTTTTATCCTTTAATGTAACTTACTGCAATGGGATTTTATTCCAATTTATTCTAAAGCTTTTCTGTTGGTCCAAACACAATGAAATAGTAAGAGACAGCTGGCAACTCTGCTTTTCATATGACAGCAAGTGCCCTTCCTTTATATTCAGCTCTGTTTCTTCAACAGCACTAGAAAGAAAATGTGGCCCTGCTCACAGCCCAACATGTCAGTATGAAACATGGCTCTGCTTCAGAATTTTCAGGTGCATATAAATACATAACATGCAGGCATCTCTGAAATTCAGACATAAATTTAGATCTAATACATAACATGATTTGATTCCATAATAAAGGCATCAGAATGTGAGACGTAAATCACCTGGCAAAAGTTTGACATGTTGTGTATAGCACATCAATTTTAATGATACTTTCTTTGTAGTTCTTCTATGCACACACAAACCCACACTGTATGAAATAATAGAGAAAAAGAGAAAAATATTACATGTAAGAAAGAATAAAGAACAGAAAAGATGAAAGATGGTCTGGACTGGGGTAAAGGGGTTCCTAATGATTCAGTGTAATAATTAATAAGTTCATGAACAACAGAAACACTTTTTTAATGAATGGATAATAATAAATATTTAAAACAGGAACTATTATTAATAGAAATGTTCAATAGTAATGCACCAGTATAGGCACTGTGGGCTCATGCTGATACCCAATATTTTTCATGTATATACACTGACAGGCCACTTCATTAACGACATCTCCACACTCGTCCATTTTATCACATATGAGCACTTCGTAGTTCTCCAAATTCAGACACAATAGCTCATCTGTTGGTCACAGGATGCTGCCCACAGGACGCTGCTAGTTGGTTGGTGGACTATTTTCAGTCCAGCAGTGACACTGAGGTGTTCAAAAACTCCAGCAGCACTGCTGTGTCTGATCCACTCAGACCAGCGCAACACACACTAACACACCACCACCATGTCAGTGTTACTAAGAATGATCCACCACCCATATAGTACCTGCTCTGGTGGTCCTGTAAAGATCCTGACCACTGGAGAACACTTTGAAAGGGGTTTAAAGGCCTCAGCATACTTCCTATGAACCGAAGTCCGTGAGCGCTGCGCGAAGCCGAAAGCGCCTTTGCGAGCTTACAAGCCCACATACTTTCGCGGTTTAATTTTGCCTGTTGCGTACGCTCCACAACTGCAGGTGACGTAGTTCCATGACTACTGGAAAACAATTCTATCACAGTTCTAGCTATGGCGAGTCCAGAATGCTGCCACCGTTTAAGGTGGAACAGGAAAATTCGAACAAGACGCTGGTGAATAGAAAGCCAACTTCAGCCTTGTCCTCTTGTTAACCTAAATATAAGATAGCCTATATGTTTTGGTACCTAGTGCTAGTCAGTACTAGCGAATAATAGACTTAACATCTTACGTTTAGGAAGTATTCATTGTTTATTTACCATTTATTTTATTTATTTAAATGCTCAACATCAGCCATCTTTGTTTCATGGTATTCCTCTTTTTTACTGACCTATCACAGGCTTTGTAGCGTAGCGTCTTCGTCAGAGGAGTTCATCCAACTGCCATGTGCACAACATGGCAAACGAAGCCTCCACACAACATCTGCGGTTGTTCGTTTTCTCTGCAGTTATGTCATCTTGTTCACTGAAGCCAGGCGAACGTCATCTCTGCAAGAAGTATGCTGAGGCCTTAACCCAGTATACAAGAAACAGATGGACTACAGTCTGTAAATGATCCTGAGGTGGACTTGAAGTAACCGGACGGTGTTAATGCCGATACCATTGCCAATACATACAAGTTGATAAAATGTAAACGTTTTTTTAAAATATCGATCAAATCTTAACATCTGTCCAATGCTGATATTTTTTTTTATCAAGTATCTGACAAAACCGATATGAATCTGATATCATCGTGCATCCCTAATGTTCAACACTTTATGCATTCAATCTAAGGCTGACCCTTCTAAGTCTGACTTCACTACTCATAGCTTTTTTTTATTGACCAAGACCCAAGATCTACCCATCACATTTATTTAGTTATTTATGTATTAATTTACATTAACCTACTAATCATTATGCTCCATTAAACCCACTAAAGCTCCTGCAGTGAAGTCCACTGCCTCCCAACCTACTACTCTTAAGTTCTCACCCTGCATGTTCCTTAGCTTTTTTTGTTTGTTTTTTGCTCTCACTTTCTGACTGTGATTTTGGATAAATCCTTTGTTAATAAAGATCTTAACCCAAGATTCGTCTGCGAGCATCTGGTTCCGTCTGCCACCGTTACAGGATACTTCGCCATCATGCAGACGGCAGACACTGAGGCTGTTCAGAAGATCCTGAGCAACCAAGGCCAGCTTCTGGGACATCACCAACAACAAGCTGAACAGCAGGCCCAGTTAGCTCAACTCCTAACTGGTATCAAAGAAATTTCTGCTCAACTGCGTAATCTCTGTTTGGTCACCTGCCCCTGTCACTGTCCCAGTCTCTCCCACTAATGAGACCACCCCAGTGAGTGTTAATCCAATTTATCCTGTAAGCAAACCTGATAAAATTTGATGGTTCTCCAGACAAGTGTCAAGGTTTTCTCCTGCAATGCTCTGTATGTGTTTCAGTAATTCTCCATCTAGTACAGATAAAGCCAAAATAGCATTCGTTATCTCACACTTGTCATACAAAGCTTTAGAGTGGGCAACTGCTGGGTGGTCTCGTATTCAAGATATGTCTTATGAGCAATTTTTTAAAAAGAATTCAAGACAATTTTCGACCATTCTCATGATGGCCATTCCAGTGGAGAGCTTTAATGCAAGCTTAAACAAGGCAATCGCGTTTGGTGGCAACCTACGCAGTGGAATTTCAAACTCTAGCCGCTGGAAGTGAGGGGAATGAGCTGCACTTTTAGTGGCTTTCCGCAACAGACTCAATCCAGAGGTATTAACTGAGTTTGCCTGCAAAGATGACAATCTAACACAGGACCAACTCATTGATTCATCCATTAGACTTGACCAACTAGTACTAGCAACTAGACTAGCACAAAGTTCTCGTACCTATGTACACTCCAGCTTCTGTTCCAGGCCAGTTCCAGCTCCGGCTTTCATTCCGGTTTCAGTGCAGATGTATGACCCCACCCTGGTTTTTGGAAGTCATGATGCAGTTCGGGGTCTAGGTCTGTCTAAACCTTGAGTAACATATAGGTAAATATAGGTAATTAATTAACTCATTAAGCTCTATATTTTGAGAATATAGCATTTACCTTATACTTTCTGCTACAGTTTGTTAAATATTTCACATTAAAAGTACAAGTGGGTTATTCTCATGAATATGAACCAAACCTGAAAAAAAAGTAACATAAATTTAACTAAAATTTTCTCTTTTGGGATATGCAAACAATGATATCTTGCTGAATATTTTAAAATAAACCTGAATGATGTAATTTGCATTAAATTCATTTGTGGTAACATTTTCCAATTTAAGTGAACAAATTCCC